CAAACATTCGTTTCTCATAAGCTGTCCCCTCGGGGCCTCAAACACAAAGTGCAATGACGATTTTCTCCCAGAAATTGTTCATACTTCCTGCTGAGCGGTATCTGCGTACCTCCACCTGCGGACAGGTATTAGCAGAAAGGTGATTTCCCCCGAAAATCCCGGCTACAGCATGACCACACCCCACATAGGGTGTGAAGGTAAAAGGCAAGGTTAGGACTATGCCCGAGCACCACCGTACAGCAATGACAGTGTGTATAGTTAACCCCTTCCTGGCAGGCATGCACCCCATATATGCATACAGCCAGCATGATTCTTCTGTGCAGTGAGCACGCTCAGTGCTGTGCCCCCCGTGCCATGACTGCGCTGTCCTCGACAGCTCCCAGTCACTCTTTATGATCAGGAGCTGGTTATATGACCACTTTGACAGCCAATCGCAATGATCATTGGGCAGCACAGTGGCCTAGTGGTTAGCACTTCCACCTAGCAGCACTACTGCACTACCTGCCTGGAGTTTGCATGCTCTCCCTGTGCCTGCGTTTGTTTCCTCGAGGTACTCCGGTTTCCTCCTTATGTGATCAGGAAACAACTCCGACATAAAGATTCCTTTAAAGGACCAGCTCCTCAATCCTCTTCTCAGGTCCCCAACGGGTGGTCCTGGCTCCTCCACCCTGCTGAGTGCCCCCACAGCAAGCTGCTTGCTATGGGGGCACTTGTGCAGGCTCACTCCTGAGCTGGCTCTGTACATTGACACAGAGAGCGTGGCCCCGCCCCCTTTTCACTGACTGTAATTGACAGCAGCAGGCGCCAATGGATCCCGCTGTTGTCTCTGAGCCTATGAGGATGGAGAGCGCAGGAAGTGATATTACACCAGGGGTGGACTGACCATTTGGAAACTCGGGCACTGCCCGAGGGCCCGGGGTCAGTAGGGGGCCCCATGAGATGCCCCTGGTACCTTTTTCATAGGCTTTTTTGAGTTTGGGCAAGGACACAAGGGCCCCATGATCCCCTATTGCCCGGGGGCCCCATGAGTTATCAGTCCGCCCCTGTATTACACCCTGTTTTTCAAGCAGTTCCAGCAGCTGATTTAATCACTATTGAGTAAGCAGTTTCTTTATCTTTTATTCCTTTCCCATGTTCCAGCAGCATTCATACAACCAATGAGAGGACGCCGCTCTGAACAACCTATGGAGTCTGGTATATGGAATGGCCTCAGCCGCCGTTCCTGCCTCTTCTGCGTTTCGCCCCGCCCACTAGGGCTTGATCCCAGAGTTGTATGAATGCTGCTGGAATCATTTGCGGACACCGCTCCCTCTTCTGATGCTGGTGACATGATTCCTTTTTGTTTCCCAGCTTGGAGCAGCGCCAGAATGTTTCACACACTAGCTTGTCTATATTCCAGTTTAAGCTGGTGTCCAGGGTTCCTCTTTCAAGGTGGTTCCTTTCTCTTGCAGCGCCCCTTGGAGTCACCTTTGCATGCAGAAACTAGAGTTGTGTCTCCCTACACTGTGCGCATCAATAGCATCACACAGCCCTGTAACCTAGGATGGCAAGGCACTCCCCTGCTCCTCCTCCTGCCTTCTCCAAGCCAAGAGACTGGATGGAGACTGCACTGTCCACTGTTTCCACTGTCCAACTCTTTCCTCTGCAGACTGGAAGTTCAGGAAAGCAGCAGTGAAGCAGCAGGAGACAGCAGTGTAAACTGCTAAATTAGTCTGGAATTTGCAAGCTTTTTACCAAGCCATAGGGAAAGGGATAACCATTTCTGACACTGGCTATAATGATTGCATTGAATCAATTGTATCGATAGTGGACAGAGAAGATATTACGTCAAATAAAAAAATATCATACATCAGATTTCAGATTACGGTGGAGGTTTTGGGGGCAATGAGAATCAGCTTTGGGAAAATGGAGCAATTAGAGTGTTGGCGGTATATTTCCATTGTTTCATCTATTGGGCTACAGTACTATTTTTCTCCTGATGGAAGATAATGGTACAATTGTCAATTGTTGTTTTTATGTCATTTTTATTCTATGAGCTTATTGAAATGTATTGAATATATTTCAACTGGAAACAAATAAAGTTTTTAAAAAATGCAAGACCAGAGGGTTGGAGGGCCCTGTTCATGAAAGCTTACAGTCTAAATGGAAATTAGCAAAAAATTGCCTTGCCTTTGCCCAACTTTAGCCTGAAATTTTATTGTGAAGTAATTATTTTGTTTATTGTAGTCTTTGGGGTCTGTGTATAAAAAATATACTAAATGAATGTGACAAAAATCAGCACAACTTCAGCAAAACATACAGTATTCTCTGTAATCTGGTTATCTCCTAGGATCGTAATTGCCGTCTAGTGGCCATAATGCAGTATTTTTTTTTTTGGCTGGGATACTGGGTGCTGTCAAGGTCCTACCTTTTCCCAGAGGTTATGTTACTCCATGTGCTGGCATCCATCTTGGATTTCTGCTGAGCATGGTGGGAATCTTTTATGCCTTCAGGTCTCTGAGGTCCATCCCCCAGAGGGGTGTGGCTGAGTACATATAAGCCTGTGATCCGCACATGCTCTTTGCACTTGTGTATTGGTCTTGCTACAGCTCTGTGTATACTCTCGTGACTCTTCTGGTATCTGACTCGGCTTGTGACTAAGACCATTCTCTGTGGTTTCCTTCGATCCGACCTTCCGTTGCTGAACCCGGCCCGTGACCTGTGATTCTCTGTCTACTGTTCTGTACCGTTTTATCCCGTTGTTGTCGACCCGGCCTGCCTGACTACGCTATTGTCATTCTTACCAGCTACAAGCCATTGGCGGCGGCCATTACTGCAGCCGGGGTGTCTCGGGGACCGCTACCTGGTTCCTGGCTGCGTCAAGTCCATCCCCACCATCAGGGGCCCTGGTGAAGGGCAGCCTGGGACTTAGACTCCGCGCCCTGAGGGACTTCAGTCTGTTGGTGGTGGTTGTCGTCAGCCAGTGCGTTAACCTGCCACTAGGCCTACCTGCCCTGACAGGTGCTTACAATCAGTGGAGTCCCTAGGCGGGTGCAGGGAGTGTGCGCCGCACTGTGTGACACCCAAGGGCGGACTGACAACTCATGGGGCCCCCAGGCAATAGGGGATCATGGAGCCCCTGTGTCCTTGCCCAAACTCAAAAAGCCTATGAAAAAAGGTACCAGGGGCATCTCATGGGGCCCCTACTGACCCGGGCCCTCGGTCAGTGGCCGAGTTTCCGAATGGTCAGTCCACCCCTGGTGACACCTATCGCATGGGGTGACACCGGATCCTCTCCACGAGCTCCACGAAAAGGAAAGTTTTAAAGCAAACTAACGATCCCCGCAAGATGGATCGGATCTGCGGATTGAGCATAATGGATCAGAGTCCGATCCATTATGCTCCCCAATCCGCAGATCAGATTCATCTTGCGGGGATCGCCAACTTGCAACCTATACAGGGTTCACTGATCTAGGTAAGGCTGTGCAAGATCCGGGACTTGTCTGTAACCAGGAAATGCGTCCGCGATAGCAGGAACCTCCTCCATCTGACATCACTTCTCAAGCATGTGCAGACCGGACCGGTGTTGAAAGATCCCGTATAGGTTGCAAGCCAACAATCCCCGCAAGATGGATCTGATCTGCAGATTGGGGAGCATAATGGATCGGTCTCCGATCCATTATGCTCAATTCGCAGATCCGATCCATCCTGCGGGGATCGTCGGAGGGGTGACACCAAGTGTTACCGCACCGGGTGACACCAACCCTAGGGACGCCCCTGCTTACAATCATGGGAGATAATTATATTACACAGAATACAGCAAGTTGCATTGGAACTGTGCAGATGTTTGTCCAGTTTTTATACATAGACCCCTTAATATTTTCTGCCTTCCATAACATGTGTGTCACGTTTGGGGCTTTTCACATGTTCCAAATCTGCCAATAAGTCGTTGCTGTACTTTTGCAGAGCAAGAATAGGGCAGAAGACTAACTTAGTGACAGTTTTATTACACGTTCCCAGCAATATTACGATCTTAAATTACCTGAGTTATTGTTATAGAAGACAGGTTCATAAAACTAGGAGAAGACAGGAAATGCTTGAAATGTCTCCATGCTGATCTTCTACAACTTACAGGAATGAAATGTGGGGCTCGGTTGAGTTTTAAAAAGTCTTCCTGTTCGCGGAACTCTCACTAGGAAACAAATCACACATTTTAAGAGCTTTCTGTAACCGGTTTCACACTTTTAAACTCTTTATGGTAGGACAGGATGGGTTTTCTGCCTTCAATGATTCCGGTCAAAATCCAACCCCATGGATCGACGGCTCTTGGGGTCAATAGGAAATTTGGAAATCTTGTCTAATTGCTAATTTGTCCCCTGAAGTATCTTGTGGTGGGAACCATTTGACTCCTCCTCTTACATTGACACAAACACACATATTTGGGAGAGCCAAGCATACATGTTTAGGAGACAACATCTGACAGGCGTGCCGTTAAGAATATGGCCTGGTGTACCTTTTGTTGAAGACTGGAAGTGATGTTGCAGGGTGTAGACCTATTTTTCCCAACCTTTTTATCCCAAAGGCACCCTTGAAATAATTTTCAGGTTTGGGGAACCCTTGCAAAAATTAATTCTATGGGGGTCATTGCGAAGAATGCTCTTTAACATTGGTTATCAGTGGGAAGAATGATCCTTACATTGCTGGTCAGTGGAAAGACAGCCCCTTACATTGGTGGTCAGAGGGAAGAATTTTCCTTACATTGGTGATCAGTGGAAGGAATGTCCCTTACATAGGTGGTCAGTGGGAGGAATGTTCCTTACATTGGTGGTCAGTGGAATAAAAAGGCCTTTACATTTGTGGCCAGTGGGAAGAAAGTCCCCCTTACCTTGGTGATCATTGGGAAAAATGATCCTTACATTGGCGGTCAGTGGAAAGACTGCCCCTTACATTGCTGGCCAGTGGGAAGAATATTTTTTACATTGGTGGTTAGTGGAAAAAATGCCCTTTACATTGGTTATCAGTGGGAATAATTCCCCTTACATTGGTGATCAGTGGGAAGAATGCTCCTTACATTGGTGGTCAGTGGAAAGAATGCTCCTTACATTGGTGGTCAGTGGGAAGAATGCTCCTTACATTGGTGATCAGTGGGAAGAATGCCCTTACATTGGAGGTCAGTGGGAAGAATGCCCCTTATATTGGTGATCAGTGGGAAGAATGCTCCTTACATTGGAGGTCAGTGGGAAGAATGTTCCTTATATTGGTGATCAGTGGAAAGAATGTCCCATACATTAGTGATCAGTGGGAAGAATGCTCCTTACATTGGAGGTCAGTGGGAAGAATTTTCCTTATATTGGTGATCAGTGGAAAGAATGTTCCTTATATTGGTGATCAGTGGAAAGAATGCTCCTTACATTGGGGGTCAGTGGGAAGAATGTCCCTTACATTGGTGATCAGTGGAAAGAATGCCCCTTACATTGGTGATCAGTGGAAAGAATGCTCCTTACATTGGGGGTCAGTGGGAAGAATGTTCCTTATATTGGTGATCAGTGGGAAGAATGCCCCTTACATTGGTGATCAGTGGAAAGAATGTCCCTTACATTGGGGGTCAGTGGGAAGAATGCCCCTTACATTGGTGATCAGTGGGAAGAATGCCTGTTACATTGGTGGCTAGTAGGAAGAATGCCCCTTACAGTGGGGGGCCAGTGGGAAGAATGCTTCTCTTACAACAGTGGTCTGAATACCACTCTTACAGACAGCTGAAAAGATCATTGGTGCCATGATGCTGGCTCTGCCATATGGCAATGGCCCCAGAACTATAGCTGTTTACCTGATAAAGCAGTTGCTTTTCTGTCCATCCAGTCCTGATATTTACTAGCTCTGTCAGACTGTATAGCAAGGATGTGGACCTGATTTTTCTCTACTGCCGGTAAGCAATAAAGATTGGTCATCTCCTTACCCCACCTGTGATGGGATACTGAAAATGCAGCAGCTCAGCCCTCATATTGCTCTCTCCTCCTGTCAACTTGTTTCTTGTCACCACATGTGCATAGTTACCCCCTAATGCTGCCCTTCCCTAACCCTATCTGAATTCTGCTGTAAAAAAGACTGATATTGTCAGTTTTTAATGAATATACAACCAAATTAACTAGTATTTTATATCTGCCAAAAGTTCATTTTTACAGCTAATTCAGACAGGCACTGACATTTGCCCTGCAGGCTGAGCTGCTGCTTCTGTACCTGCAATCGTCTTAGAGCTTCGGACACTTTCACATCAGGTGCAGCTGGGTGCATTTTTGATTGCACTCCCAACTGCATAGACCAGGGGTGGGCAACTGTGGCCCTCCAGCTGTTGGTGAACTACAAGTCCCATCATGCCTCTGCCTTTGGGAGTCATGCTTGTAACTGTCAGTTTTGCAATGCCTCATGGGACTTGTATTTCTACAATAGCTGGAGGGCCACAGTTGCCCACCCCTGGCATAGACAGTCCAAAAATCCCGGCTATACTATGGGTACAGTTCACATTATTGAAGTGCAGTGCAGTCAAAAAAAAGTAAGAGCATGCTGCATTTTTTAGCACCAAAAATGTGCAAAAATGCACGTAAATGCCCTGCAATGCATTGCAGTGCACATAGAAGACCAAGGAAAGAAAGGAAAAGTAAGTGACCTCACATATGCAGATAGAAAAACACACATCAACTGCATGTAAACGTGCATCACCTGCATGTAAACGCACATAAAAACAGGCATCAAATGCATGCAAATGTGCACAAAAAATGTTGATTACAGCCTATGTGTGCATGGACACATAGGATAACATGCTGGGGATGGACACATAGGATAACATGCCGGGGATGGACACATAGGATAACATGCTGGGGATGGACACATAGGATAACATGCCGGGGATGGACACATAGGATAACATGCCGGGGATGGACACATAGGATAACATGCCGGGGATGGACACATAGGATAACATGCCGGGGATGGACACATAGGATAACATGCCGGGGATGGACACATAGGATAACATGCCGGGGATGGACACATAGGATAACACACCAGGGATGGACACATAGGATAACACGCCAGGGATGGACACACAGGATACCATGCCGGGGATGGACACACATAGGATAACATGCCGGGGATGGACACATAGGATAACACGCCGGGGATGGACACGTAGGATAACATGCCGGGGATGGACACGTAGGATAACATGCCGGGGATGGACACGTAGGATAACACGCCGGGGATGGACACGTAGGATAACACGCCGGGGATGGACACACAGGATAACATGCCGGGGATGGACACGTAGGATAACATGCCGGGGATGGACACGTAGGATAACATGCCGGGGATGGACACATAAGATAACATGCCGGGGATGGACACATAGGATAACATGCCGGGGATGGACACACAGGATAACATGCCGGGGATAGACACACAGGATAACATGCCGGGGATGGACACACAGGATAACATGCCGGGAATGGACACACAGGATAACATGCCGGGGATGGACACACAGGATAACATGCCGGGGATGGACACATAGGATAACATGCCGGGGATGGACACATAGGATAACGTGCCAGGGATGGACACATAGGATAACATGCCGGGGTTGGACACATAGGATAACATGCCGGGGTTGGACACATAGGATAACATGCCAGGGATGGACACACAGGATAACATGCTGGGGATGGACACATAGGATAACATGCCGGGGTTGGACACATAGGATAACATGCCAGGGATGGACACATAGGATAACATGCCAGGGATGGACACATAGGATAACATCCTGGGGGGTTTACTGGCTGTAGAAAAAAAACATCAAATGCCAAAAACAGCCGCTGAAAAAAATTCAAGTGTGCATGAGGGCTTAGTGTAGTGCAGCTTGCAGCTTGTCACTCAAAGTTCATGAGCTTCCTTTGGGGCATAGTAGTGAGTGTAGCCCAAAAGAACTGAATAGGAGCACCTGAAAAAAACACAAAAATGTGTATAATGTGCATTTATTGCATGTTTTCCTCGCCTAGTATCTACACTTCTCTTGGCCAACAATAATAAAAAAAAAATGCTCAAGCCTGAAACATGAGCAGATATGCTAAAATAAATGCCTAAAAAACCAAAGGTGCTCAGTTCAGTCTTGAATGGAGCCTTCATTTTACATTTTGATTTTGACATGGCTTTTTTTTAAATAGTTTTTCAGTTCTGTGTTAAAAAGAATAATTCCAAGTGGATATTATGTGAATGTCTGAATATTTCTTTTCATTAGAATTCTTGTACTGACGTTGCACAGGCTGAGGGCACTACGTGCAAAACTGATAGGCAGCCGAATGGTCCAAACCACAAAAGATTAGTTCTGGGAATATTTGTGTCCCAGAAAACTTTCGGTCATTATCAGTGCCCGCTGTGACTTCCTTCTTCAGGTTGTTTGAAGTTGTGCCCTTTTAAGGTTTCCTGAATAGGGGATGACGGGATATCAGAATAATGGCGGTGTCAGGCTGTGTGAGTTCACAACGCATTAGTTACTCTTGTCCTGACCTTGTAAATTCACCAATCGGCTACAACAATATTTTAGAAGAATCACTGACATTCATTATTGGTCCTTAAATTAATACAAATTGCAAAAAGAAATAACATTTACAACATTTTTTATTTTCAAATGAAAACATTGAGAAGGGCAACCAAACTGATAAGCGGCATGGAGGAGCTGAGCTATGAGGAAAGATTAGAGGAACTGAATTTATTCTCTCTTGAGAAGAGGAGATTCAGGGGGGATATGATCTCCATGTATAATACATAAGGGGGGGGATATGATCTCCATGTATAATACATAAGGGGGGATATGATCTCCATGTATAATACATAAGGGGGGATATGATCTCCATGTATAATACATAAGGGGGGATATGATCACCATGTATAATACATAAGGGGGGATATGATCACCATGTATAATACATAAGGGGGGATATGATCACCATGTATAATACATAAGGGGGGATATGATCTCCATGTATAATACATAAGGGGGGGGGATATGATCTCCATGTATAATACATAAGGGGGGATATGATCTCCATGTATAATACATAAGGGGGGATATGATCACCATGTATAATACATAAGGGGGGATATGATCTCCATGTATAATACATAAGGGGGGGGGATATGATCTCCATGTATAATACATAAGGGGGATATGATCTCCATGTATAATACATAAGGGGGGATATGATCACCATGTATAATACATAAGGGGGGATATGATCTCCATGTATAATACATAAGGGGGGATATGATCACCATGTATAATACATAAGGGGGGATATGATCACCATGTATAATACATAAGGGGGGATATGATCTCCATGTATAATACATAAGGGGGGATATGATCTCCATGTATAAATACATAAGGGGAGGGGGTTATGATCTCTGTGTATAAATACATGAGGGGATATAATCATCATGTACTGTATAAGTACATATGGATGATATAATCACTATTTTTAAATACATGGGGCGGTATGGTCACCATGTATAAATACATAAGAGGGGATGTTATCACTAGATGGTCCATATAGTGAACTCTGGATAGAATTATTCACTTTCAGGTCATTGCAAAGGATAGGGGGCATGCTGTACGTCACTTACAGAAAGGCTTCTCCGCAGTAAGAGCTGTGAAAATGTGGAATAAACCTCCTCAGAAACTTGTTCTGACCAGCTCAGTAGATTGTTTTTCCTCTGGATCAACTGTGTGTAATGGATTGTGTATAAGAAGAGTTTCTTTTTATGTATTTTTTCTGTTGGTTGAACTAGATTAACTTTTGTCTTTTTTATATCTTTGTAAGTATGATGCAGTGCAGAGAGTGCCTGTGATGTGTTTTTGGGAAGTAACCTGAGGTCCTCAAGCACATATGGACACCTGGGGCCATAGAGCGTTAAATTTGGGCATTTTTCCCCACCTGGGAGCCACAGATACTGCATACAGGCACCCTTAGAAAACAGATCCCATATGAGTGATTTGAAGCTACACCAAATTACTCCACACTAGGATTTCCATTATATTCATTGGTGCCCAAACTCATTGCACATAAAAGTACATGACTCTCTTTTGGGGCAGAGTCACACATTTTGGCCCCAATTGACTTCAACAGGATCCCTTGAAAAACGCGCAGATATATGCAAAAATAAGAGCAATGCACGTTTAATTGTCTAGTAACTGTTTCCATTGGTTAAAAATTAGTAAAAAATACAAATGTCTAGAAAAAAAAAAGACTAAATAAGGCCTTAAAGGGATCTGTTTTTTACAACTGACATCTAATTGATTTCAAGAGCATTTTCTGAAATGCTTTAACACTCAACATCAAGATTTCTATTAGATTCAATGGTGCCTGTTCACCCCTGAGTGTTGTGTTGCTTAATGCTTGTCACTCAAGGATTTGAAAAGTACACTAGTGTCCTTAGGGCAGAGTTGTGCATCTCGGGCCCCTATAGAGTTTAACTGCAGCACCTGAAAAATACCTAAAAATTGGCTAAATGGTCTTTTTTGACACTTTTTAGTTATATATATATATATATATATATATATATATATATATATATATTATATATTTATTG